CAGAACGCAGCGGGGCGGAAGGCGTGAGGGCTTTGACTGATACAACAGTGTTCACATTCTGTTTACCTGGCAGTGGTTGAGTCAAGAGTTCAGAAGAGATTACAACGGAGAAATACAGTAAGACATGTAAGACTACATGTAAAATTAAAAATTTAAGACTAACAAGATAGCCCAAATCACTGTATTCACTGAACCAGGAAAAGTCAATTACATGTAAAAAAGCATCATAAAGTGTGGCTTATACAGATATGAGATTCCACCTTACTCCTTAGTTTTGGTCTATTCATCATTCTTCATTTTCCAAATGACCAGGTATTTATATTTTTACAGAATTTTTCCCCATTTTGTGTTGCTTTATAAAATATTAGTTAACAATTTATTTACTTAGTTTAGGAAAGCAGCTTTACTTATACCAGATTCTTCTTTGCTTGAACGAGTTTGTAACTAGACTTGATAAAAAAGACAACAAACTTTTGTGTTTTAAGCAAAACTGACTGGCATCTTTAGTCACTGGGCAGAGACCAATGTTTGTGCCTTTCATACACAATATCAATGTCAGAACTGGCCTAAATCATTAGCTGGATATGAATACTTTCTTTCATTCCTACAACTGGTTCTAGTCTTGTGACTACAAAACAAACTTCTATTACAAAATTGGGTTCAATATTTGTTAGCACTGAAAGTGCAGTGAATTGCTTGAAACTATACAATAAGAAATAATGCTATTATAATTTTTAGTTATAGAATTTTATTGTAAAACATATATTCTACATAAAATAATGAGTTCTAAATAAGTTCTCAATTATTCTATTATATTTACATAATACTGAAAAAATATGGGGAACCAAATTTTTTATTTTTCATTTGACATAAGAACCATATTTTTTTATAATTTTACAGAATATTTTGTTTTAATCTTCTGGATCTATACCTTTGTGTTCTTCTTTCTCCCCTGCTAGAACTTAACTCTCAAAATTGTCATCCAAATTAATTTATGTAAATTCTTTTCCCCTTTTAATAATCTTTTCTCAGTTTCTAAAATGCCAAAAATTTTACAAACTACAATTTCATTTCATTTTTAGTATCTTAATGGAGGTAACAAAAGCAGATGCACTGATTGTCTCCAAGGACTTAAGAAGCAACTTTCAGCAACTTCACACAGTCCATGTTTCAAAAGCTCATTAACTTTCAAATATCCATTCAGAATTAAATTCTGTTGTTAAATAGTGGTTTTGTACTGCATGACTTTTTATGGGCCATAGCTAACTAAATAACACTACTATTGATGCTGATCAAAGACAACCCTAATTAGAAAACTGAACTAATTCCAGTTAGTACAGATTTAAATTGCTCAAAATAAAAAGGAAATACTCAGATATAAAAGTAGTAAAATATGTACTGGATTCATATGCTGAACTACAAAATGCTAACAACAACAACAAAATCCAAGAAATATTAGCAAATGGGGAGACATGCTATGTTCGTGGACTAGGAAATTTAACATAGTAAACATGTCAATTCTGCCCAAATTGACACACAAGTTTAATGCAATCCCTATCAAAATCCCAACAAGCCTTTTTAAAGAGAAAAATATTTTTAAATTTTATATGGAAAGAAAAAAAAAACCTAAACAATTGTGTGAAAGGATAAAGTGGGACAAATTAAAACTTTTTGACCTCAACACTTATTATACAACTAGTCAATAAGAATGTTTGGTATTGGTGGAGGGTCAGACATGAAGATCAGCGGACGAGAACAGAGGCCAGAAAGGAGCCACACAAACGTAACCGTGTGAGAGATGCTTCCTTCTCTGCAAACTACACATACAACACACATTATATACTGTACTCTAGTATAAAAGTGTTACCCTCAGGGGCCCTTGGCTCCTCTTGAACAGCCTCAGAATTTATCCTTCCCTCGTCTTTTGTTTGCCCAGTTAGTTACCCACGTTTGGGGGATGTATACAGTAACAACAGTCCTCTTTTAGAAAGGTGCCAAACTTAGAAGTTACGGCTGTATCCTGAACAGTCAGATCTGGTAGCTACCTTACCCCCAGATAAATATAGGATATCTGTGTAAAATAAATTCGCTGCTCACCTGGAAGTTGTTCATTAGGCCATAGGAACAAGGATTGCTTTCACAAAATGAAAAGTCGAAGTTTAACTTGCAGGCTGCAGAAGTGCAGTTCGTTAGCTCTGTTACAATGGTGTCGTTGACGTTCCCAGTGGCATCCCGAACAACACAAGAACCTAAAGCACAAGCGACAATGAGAACAAGATAGCTAAAATCTAGACTCATTTCAGAATCACACATATTCATAAAGAAACCGAAGTACTGACTACATATATACTTATTTTTAAAAGGATACACTGCATTTATAGTGAAGATGGCTTTAAATTTAGAAATCATGGTCCCTGATATTTACACAGTGAAACTGAACCTTTCATAGAGAATATTTATTCATATACTCTTAAAAACCTTGCAAACATACTGTGGAAAATTAGCACAATTTGTATATTAGCAAAACTATCTCCTGGTCCATTTGGTTAAAATGTCCTTAAGTAAGTATGAAAACACTGTATTAAACAATGGCAGTAATCTTTTCCTATACTCCAAATATTTTCTCTAAGAAACATGGCCAAAAATCAGACTACATGTATCACTGGTCTTCTCCGAGAGGAAAACAACTTTAATGTTAATGAATTGTAATTCTATTTAAGCCTCTGTCTCAAACATGACTACCCTGACAATAAGAAATTACATGGTATCTGAGATTTTCTTAAAAATAATGCATGGGGCATAGTGACTATGTATAGATGAAAAGATTAACCATGTACTTATAATATTTTTGCTAACTTTTTAAAAGTTGGATGATATTGTACTAATTAGAAAATGCTCTACTTTTGGATAAATCAAAAGTTTCTACAATACAATATTTTAAAAATTACTTGAATTGACTGGTAATGGTGGCTCATGCCTGTAATCCCAGCACTTGAGAGGCTGACGCGGGTGGACTGCCTGAGCTCACAAGTGCCAGCAAGAACCTGAGCAAGAGCGAGACCCTGTCTCTAAAAAAGTACCCAGGCATTGTGGCGGGCGGCTGTAGTGCCAGCTACCTGGGAGGCAAGAGAATCACTTAAACCAAGAGTTTGAGGTTGCTGTGAGCTAAGATGCCACAGCACTCTATCAAGTGTGACCAAGTGAGACTCTGACTCAAAAAAAAAAAAATTACTCGAATAACCACTTCATTATACGTTATACGTGTAACAAATAATGTACAACTAACAGTAATCACCAGTCCTTACACTTTGTATATTTTTATTTTCTGAAATGCGTTAACAGTATTATTTCATCATATACCAGGTAAAGAAGATTCTAGGCACTATAGAAAAAAGCCTGAATGAACAGAAAACCAAGTCTGAAAGGGAGGATATTTTAATGACTACACAGACTACATGTAGTTCTTCAGTTTTCAATTTCTTCATCTGCCCTTCAGAGCAACGTCTGCAAAACCACCGTTCCCTTAAGCTACTGGAGGGCCAGAGGAGAACAGGGCCCGAGCCTCCCACTAGGTCGAAAGCCACTATGCTTTCATTGCTTCATGTGCTGATGTTTTTACACCAGCATTTTTTTTGGAGGGGGGTCAATTGCTTTGAACCAGTTAAAGAACAGCTGGCGTAGGAGCTAGGTTCACTGGCCTCCCTACTGAGCGGCCCGGAGGAGCTGCTCCTTCAGGTGCTCACGTCAATGAGCAAGATGAGTGTGAGGGCCAGCAGTTTCCAGGGCAAAGGACAAATAGAAAGTGTTTATCTGTTGTAACAAACTGTAAATTAAACCAGAAACAGTTTATCAATCCTTTAAATTAAGACCAAATTTCTTTATCTACCTGACACATAATGTGCCCAACAAGCATACTGGAAACCTTAGCGGAACACATCTCTTTTGCTAAGGATACACATGTGCGTTTACAGATTGTAAAAATAAATAAAACTCAAGTTCCTCTTCAAATGCCATTGTAGCCTACCATGGTATTATTACCATTTCTAACTCTCATGTAGTAAAATTTCAAAATTACATTTAAGGAAAAAGCAGAGTTTGTAAATATAGGTCTGTTGTTACTTTCTAGCAAATACATGGCAAAAATGAAATTTCTTAGAGAAACACAATGAAAATTTCATTATGCAGTTTACTAACTTGGAGTTTATGATGATTTAGATTAGTACCAAACTAAAATTTACTTTTGTATTATGCTTCAGAAATTTAACAGCAAAATTTGGCTTTTAGAGCTTAAATATTCAAAACAATACTTACATTTTAAGAAAGTACTTTGTAAATATACAGTTTTATGAAAGTGTAATAAACTCGAGACACTGCATGCAAGTTGCATGTGAATTAACAGTAATAATTATAATTAAATTTATGAGTAGTTTCTTGAACTAGAATGTTCCAGGTAATTTAAAGAGCCTACACTATAAATAGCCTTTAAAGCAGTGTGGTTCTCAACCTTCCTAATGCCACAACCCTTTAATACAGTTCCTGTGGGTCGCGACCCACAGGTTGAGAACCACTGCTTTAAAGACCTAATTTAAAAAACCAAAAAGTTCTCTTTGCCATGCAAACAATTCCTTAAAACAAGTGTCATTATGTTTGGTAGTAAAATCTCTGAGCTTCGATTCCTTTGTTTATAAAAGGGGATTTAGAGATTGGTTGACCACCTAAAGTCTTCCGAAGTTCTAAAATGCTATGAGTCCATGCATGTAATAAAATAGTTTTAAAACCATTTTTATTTTATATAGGAAGATGTTAGCAAATCCTTTCATTCAACTTAGTATGGCTTGTTCTTCAAAATCAATGTTTTTATAGTAAAACTATAGCAAGGACTGATGACCTTTAAACAATCTTCACATAATAAAATTATATAAAAATGTAATCATCATAAACAAACATACTCAGAAATTCATACAGTAAAATTCATTTGCTTCTACATATGAACTATGTTTTCTATAAATATATCTCAGTGAAATTTACTTTACAGATAGAACTAATTAATAAAATTATATAATTTATGATTAATAAAAATCCTGGAGAAATAATGCATTTTATGGTTTGAGAATGTCTACAAAATCACTACTAGTTTTCTTAAAACTGTTTGAATTAGAATAAGCAACTTCATGCCTTTTAAGTGAAATATTTTCTGAATTTAAAAATTAAAAAATGCCATGAAATATTTATAGTATGTACATCATGAAATTTCTGAAACACACAAAGAAATACAAGGCTATTTACCTACAGATACTGCAATTCCTACGTAAACCAACGTGGTGATTAAAATGGCTAAGAGTGTTCCTTTGGGGATGGCTGACTGAGGATCCTAGAAGACAAAAAGATTTTTAAAAGTCTATCTTTAAAAATAAATACACACATATCACTTTTTTTTTTTTTTTTACATATAACTGATGGAGTATTTCATGGTACTTACTGCAAGATCACCTGAGATATTTGCTCCAGCCAGAATACCAGTTGCAGCAGGAAAAAAGATGGCAAATACAGAAAAGAAAGTCTCATCCTGTCGAAAATCTGGTCCAAAGTTCTCATTAAATATTTCAGCTGCAGAAAACAAAATATTTTTGGCAATTAATAGATCTGTAACAATTCAAGTCAATAGTAATTGGAATATATGACTCCTAACCTTACTCTGGCTGAAGTAATAGGTAAATTCTTGTGTATTTCCTAAATCAAGCACTGGCATTCCTCTTTTCTTCTATGAATAAATGGCTTACAATCAAAATGATGATCCAATCTGGCTCATATGTTATCTGTCTCTGACTTGATTGTGAATACCAGTGCAACTGTAAATCAATCTCAGAGGTCAAAGTAACAAGGGAAGTAAGGTAACAAATGAAATATCATACTACTAAGGGGGCTTTTTCCCAGTATAACTTTTAGCTTATGTTACTTTCTGCATACATTTCGGCCCACTGCTTTCTATACTGCCTAGTGGTAACCTGTTTGGTTTTTGAGGCTATCTGATAAGTAGGCTAAGATACCCTAAGTTTAGCCACATTTCAACAATAATGAAAGTTTCGACCAATTATCATATTATTTTTCCAAGTTTGCTGTAGATGTGGCTTACTGTGATGCAGGAACCAAACAGATTACCAAAAGACGAATGCCGTTGAGAAAGTAAAAGAACTGAGATCCAGAACACATTGGAGGCACTGGTCTTTAATGGAAGGGAAACTTCTCACAGCAAAAAGAAAAAGGAAAAAATGAATACGACTATTAAGCAGCCATTTGAACTCAAGAACATAATCTGCTTACTGCTGCCCCTACCTTAGCATAGTAAGAGGCAGCCAAGCAATATCAAGAACCAAACGTAAGTCGCATTCCAAAGAACGCGGAGATTAACCTCACACTGGGATAGCCTGATGTTACCTGAACGCAATATAAACTATCACTACACTAAATAACTATATAACTTTCATAAGTTGCCAGAGATCTAAAAACAAAAAGAAAGTGAAAAAGGTAGCTCAGCAGGTATTTACAGGTATTTTTAAATAAAGTCATAAGCAGAAACTATATAATTACTGAGAATATTTTTAGAAGTAATCATCCACTATTTTCTTTTAGGAATAAAAGTGACAAAACAAATGTTTAAAAAAATGCACAATACAAAAAAAATTAAAGTGAAAAAATCATTCATAACTAGAAATGTCACAAATATACCTGTGAGAGTTGAAAATACAGAAAATTATTTAATTGACACTACTAACTTCCATTTCTGGCATGCCCAGTAGACATCTCTTTCCTCAATCCAGGAAATCAGCAATTTAAAGCCCATTTAACAAGTAGGCATATGCACTAGTAATCAGAACAGAAATCACAAAATAAACCCAGGACCAGTAGGCACAATACTAAGTGGGTGTCCTGGGTTAAGGTAGGAACCGTGAAATAATCCGTACAGAACACTGCCAAGCCAACTAAGTCAGTTTCAGACAGAGGTCATACTAGGGCTTGTGGACATACTGTCCAAGGACTGGATGCTGTCACCAGTCAGCAATAAGATTGAGGGGCTTACACCAGAATGAAAATCAACTAGGTCTCTAGGTGCCACAGTTTAGTTGAACTGATTTTATTTTTCAGTAAGACTTTCTGAAAGAGCAAAACCACTGAGTTAGACTCTACACCTTTTCACAGATCAATGAATAGTTCTGAGGAAAACAACTCAAGAGAACTGAAGCTAGGACTTTTTTCTAAGGCTTAAAAAAGGAGGGTTTTAGTCAGGTGAACACACATAGACCCATTAAGTTAAAAGCCTCTCTCATGCTATTGCCAAACTATCCTTTTCAACTTGCATTTTACCTTGCAGAGAGAATTCAGAGTTGCTCGATCAGGTGGGGATGATGGTGGGAGGGGGATACAGAAAGGAACTTCAGAAGATAATAAATGACAAGTAAATTCTCAGACAACTAATATAAGTTGGAGAAATATTTAAGCTGCAATTATACCAAGAAACGAATATTTGCAGTTGTTTTAACAAAGTAAAGCACTTTTAAACTGTTGTGCTTAACTACATCTAAAAGAATGAAAAAGGCATGTTAGAACCAAAGTCACATATTCTCAGAATCAGCAGAGAACAAAAGCACCTTTTGTCAGTAACACCAATCTCCATTACCTTTTGTTGCCAACAATAAAACATGCAAGATATAAATGATTTTTACTCCAATGCACAGCACAAGTAAAACTAAACTGTAAATTACTGTGAATCACCAGACCATATTCAACTGCATTATACAATATCTAAAATGTACTAAATTTATTTAATAATAGAATGCTATAATATGTACCCCGGAAAAGAATTCATTCAATCTTTTTTACTTACATTTATAACCAAAGAATCCTTTGGGCTTCTTACTCTCCAATGGAATAAATGTTCCTATGACGAAATCACCAATAGCAAAAAGAAGAATCACCAAAAGAACAATCTGAGCCTGAAATTTTAAACATTAAAAATCAAAATCAAATATCATGTGTCTATAATTTGATCTAATTCTACCAGAATATAACTTGCATCAGGGAAAGTATTTCTGTTCACCTGTTTCCACAGTGCCTCAAACTGTGACAAACACCAAATATCAATAAATTTTTGTATAATGAACAAATATTTCTTTAAAGAAATAACTTGGAATTGTCTTGCCCCAACAAATAAGCAAGGTGATGAATATGTTAATCAGTTCAATGTAAGCATTTCACATTGTGTATCAAATATAACACTGAACCCCATAAATTCCAAATGCTGTAGGCTTACATCATCCTCTATCATTCATTCCTAACACACTGTCCAAGGACTGTACGTTATTACCAGTCAGCAACAAGATTAAGGGGCTTATACCAGAATGAACAGAGACATCTTTGAAGAAATAACCTGGACCATTTTAGCACTACAGTCCTGACACAGGGAAATAAATTTGTCACAAACACAAGTTTTATACAAGGTCCAAACATAATGCTGAATGTGGGATTTCTAAAGAAAAAGAAGAAGAAAAAGCACAGAAAGAAGAAGACAGTGTACAAGAGGGAAATGCAAGTAGCAATGGGCCTGGAAGGAAAGAACTATCTGTGAGAACTACCAGGCCCCTCCTTCACTCTCAACTTGCACTAAAACTGAGCAGATACTCACGAAAAACTGTCATTTGTGGAACATGAACTACTTATATGCTAATCATGCCCCAGGTAGTAAGAATTCTATATTTTTCAATAAAGTTAATTTGTTAGATATGTAAAAAGATGATTTAATTTTACATCAATATATGTGACTAAAATATATAACTGCTTCATGTTTAAGTTAAACTTTAAAATAATGAAGCCAAATATTTAATTTGGGCTACATTACACAGTAGAATCTGTAAGCTGACCACCCAAGGGACTGTAACAAATTGGTCAACATAAAGAGGTGGTCAACACAAGGAACTAGTTCTACTGTGCTGATACATACACGTGGTGCATGTCTGGCCTATGAAAATCAGGTCAACTTGAGGTGCTCAATGTAGGAGGATGGTCAACTGTAGAGGTTCTACTGTAAATTTTCCTGAACATATCTATTCAAAACAAGATTGAGAGATGGACAAGAAGGTGGGAAACTCAAAATTGAGAAAGTACTGTTTAACTGGATCCTGAGTGTTATCTCTAAATATTCCTCACTTTGTCATGTAGAACATCACCTATACACAAACTTCTGTGACAATGGCCATTTAGGTGCCAGTAGAATCTGAAAATATTACTGCACTTTCATTCCTAAAACATAAACTCTAGAAGTTCATAAATTAAATGTTTATAGACATGCCTGTCATGACTTACTTTTGCTTCCCACTCCATTCCGGCTACTGAGATACCTAAAAGAATCACCACTGTAATGGCTCCAATAATTCGGATATCATTGATTTCATCTATCATAAGAATGGAATGTTCCTAGAAGAGATGATTATAATGAACAATATTAATCAGTTGACACAAACACTTAAATTCTTTTTCAAATAGTTTAGAAATATCACAGCACCTTACATGTAGAAGTTACTTACTTAACAAATAAATGGAAGACCTAAAGGAATGAATCACTGTTTACTATTGAGGTGTCATTCAAGGACTCAGTAACAGCTAATGTGTGATTCAATTAATACTGCTTTGCTTACCATAGATTCAATAAATAAAAAGAAATTCTAACAAGCAAATAAAAAAATATGAGCAGTGGTATTGCTAGTTAGGATTTTTAAAGTTACCCAGCAAAAATTTATTTCATATTCATTGTGACTAGCAAACTCATACTTTTCATCATTTTTTTATATCACATGAGAAAAAGAAAGAAACAAACTTTCATGCTGTTGTTCAAAAACACACACTGTTCCCATTCTGTAAGTAAAATTATTTGTAGTTTAATGTCAATGACTTTTTAAAGAATTTCTATATAGGTTATCACTAGGTAAACAGCTATTTGTGAATTACTACCGCTCCTCAAATAAGGTAATAAAAAGCACAAGAAACTAAAATATAATTTGTATTTTTGGTAACTTAGGATGAAGGTATATTACAACTGAAAAAAGTATACAAGATTTACCACCATTTAATCAATGCTTTTAAAACAAATCCTTTATAAAAGTCAACAAGAGAGAAAATAAATTGCTTAAATTCCAGATAAATGAACTTAATACAAAAAAATGAGACCAAAACCTCCCCAGATCCAATTCTTGCCAACCAAAGACATAGAAAGTGCTAATATGATATTGAACCAACACATTCTTAGCTTTTGAACCTGAAGGATCCCATTTGATTTAATAAAACAGTATATATACTTAACTCTGCAAAAGAAATTACATTTTTTGTAAGTTCAATTTGATATCTCTTGAATTAATCTGATTCCCAATGGCATTTGGATAATCATACCTGAGAATTACTTGCAAAAGAAAAAAATGGTGGTACTTTAAATACGTATCTATTGGTTTGTTTTTATATTCATGGACCATGACTTCAAAAGAATACTACAGCTGTAGCTCAATATTTATATATTAAATCTTGTTCTAAATATTTCTTTCAAACTTGGTTAAATTTCTCTCAATTTAACTTTCCACAAAACAAAAATCATTTCTAAACCCTTATCACTCAGATAAGAATTCAGAGTAAAACTTATACTTTGGCCCCTCAAAATAACACACACACTAAATTAAAGAAAGAAAGAATGAACTCAAATAACTATGCTGCTTGCTTACCATATTATAGCCCTTCCTTTGCTCCGTCCCTTTGGCCTACACAGGTAAAGATCAATGCCATCTTGGCGTCAGTCCTTTACAGATTTTACACTTCATAATGTGCCACCTACTACTGTAGAAGAACAGTTACGGCCTAACCTGATATGAACTATCGGTGTCACTCAAGGGTCCTCTCACTTAGTAATATTGAAGAATCCTATTTCACCCTAACTTTTTTTTTTTTTTAGAGACAGAGTCTCACTTTGTCGCCCATGGTAGAGTGCCCTGGCGTCACAGCTCACAGCAACCTCCAACTCCTGGGCTTAGACGATTCTCTTGCCTCAGCCTCTCAAGTAGCTGGGACTACAGGGTGCCCATCACAACACCTGGCTATTTTTTGTTGTTGCAGTTTGGCCAGAGCCAGTTCGAACCCGCCACCCTCAGTATATGGAGCTGGTGCCCTACCCACTGAGCCACAGGTGCCACTCTCACCCTAAATTATTTAATTATTCAATGACTTTTCAAGTTTTCTGAACTCCAAAGTAGTATTACCAACTGCCTTCTGCCCACCTCTGTTTGGACAGACCCCTGTTACTCACATTTGCACACCTAAAACTAAACTGTCCTGTGTGCTCTACCTCACAGTGAATGGCATCATCTTCCATATAAAGCCCCAAGTTGGAAATCTGTGTATAAACTTGAAATGCTCAGTTTTCTTTCTGTAATTTCTACATACCATTAATCAAGTCCACTCATTCAGTTTTTTAAAAAATCTTTTAAATTCACTAACATCTCTCCAACCTCATTGGTCACTGTATTAATTAACATAAGCTACTAACTCTTTTTCCAGGACACTACTATACCTTTTAAATGGTCTGCATCTCCACCTGTGATTCTCAACCCATTCTTCATACCATGGTCAGATACTTCTCTAAGCCCTAAATCTGAGCATGTCACGGCCCCCAATTCTAATCAAAATACAATTCAAACTACAAATGAGACCCTTCCTAGCCTAGTCTTTAAATGTCTTGCCACTTTGTATTCCAAGAATACTGAAATACCCCACCCTTTCCAAGCCCTTGTTTCTCTTCCCTGTTCCCTCAATCAACCCCTCCCTTCCCATTTGCTTGCTAATGCCTAGGCTCCCTTCCCTGGAGAGCCAGTCACTGACACTGCCCCGCAGCCCCCATTCCTGGTAAGTAAAGGCTCCTCCACGATGTAAGTGCTTCTCCTTTATGTGGCCAAGGCTGTCTATACTTATCCACTGCTGGCATCTATTATAATCTATCTCCCACACTAAACTTCTTGAAAGACCAGTTTCTTGGACTCCACATCACTGCTTTCCTAACCTCTGACATGGTGGCACATAAGCCCTTAGTGAAGATCTGGGGAATGACTGATTATCTTCATAATAGCACATTGTACCATGGTACAAATGATTTAAAAAGTGACTTACCTTCAGCAACTCCACCACAGTCTCTGCAAATCCAACCACATACATGGCAACTGCAACAGCATTTGCAAAAGCAAAGATCAGGCCAATTGCACCACCGAACTCTGGCCCTAGACTTCTAGATATCAAATAATATGCTCCTCCTAAAGAAAAGGAAAACAGAACAAAAAGATTAAAGCTAGGATTGAAAATGTAAATCATCCTTCTAATTACACAGAAGTGTAATTAAAGCAGCTAAATTAATTGCCAAGTCAGTGAGTGTATTTTTAGAAATTAAACACCCAAGAAGAATTCCTCGCAATCAACTTTATTTGTTAACAATTTCCAACATTCACAGAATTCTCCCCATGTCAGATATAAAATCACCCCACTTTCTTTTTTGAAAGCTTAAGTTAAAATTGGGGGCATAGCCTCTTTCTTCATATTCATAGAAACCAAGATTATTTCCCAGTGATTTTCTAAATAACATATTTTATTTTATAACTTTTAAAATTACTGTTGACATAATTTCAGTTATTTATATTACAGCAATTTGCTGGGAATGTGAATACCAAGGCGCAAAAGAAAAAGAAAACAGTCTCACAGCAAACTGCAAAGAACAGCACATAGTAGCATCCCAAAGAGACATAGTTTGTAGTCTAGCAAATCCTGCCTAAATAGCAAGAGTGAACAAAGACGTTATGTACGGGCTATCACGAAGCAAGTTTTTTTAACTTAAAATATTAATCAGTACTTTAGTTTGAAGTCAATCAACCATCTGGAACTTCTAAGAGCTCTTCTAAAATTCTAATTAAACTTTGGCCATTAGATCATAATTAAAACTTAATTTTAGTAATACTGAAGTTACATACATATTTCTATGTGATGATGAAATAATGTAATCCCTAAGACCATATAATGAAATGTCATTGCACAGTTAATATTTCTACTGTCCATTTGATATGAAGATAAATATAACAAAAAATTCTGCATCTTGATAAAGGACTAAATATGCCAAATTCATCTGAAAATATTTACAATTGGCAGTGCCTGTAGCTCAGTGGGTATGGCACCAGCCACATACACCAAGGCTGGTGGGTTCGAACCCAGCCTGGGCCAGCTAAAACCAATGATAATTGCAACAACAACAAAAATAGCTGGGCGTGGTGGGAACCCACAGTCCCAGCTACTTGGGAGGCAGAAGCAAGAGAATAGCTTAGGGCCAGGAGTCCAGGGTTACTGTAAGCCACGGCACTCTACCAAGAGACTCTGTCTCAAAAGAAAAGAAAAAAAATATTTGCAATAGGTTTTATGGTTGAATCCTCTGATCAATTCTGAAAATGTTCTATAGCTTAAACTCATTCACTAAAAATTTCTTTGGTTTTCATTACCTTGAAAGTTCAAAAAAAAAAATGCAATCTAACCATTTACCATCAACCTTTAATTTTTTCCTTGAAAAACAAAATGTGGCAGAAGTATGATTAGAACAGGAAACACATCCTATAGCTAACAAAGAATTAAATTTATAATAATCCACCCTGTACCCCTACCAAGCCACACACAAAATAACTGATGCCTGAGATGGCTTCAACGGAGAGGAAGAAATATGATCAATTTTATACAAGTTCTTTCAGTACATAGAAGAGGGAACTCTGGAACTCCCCTTATGAGATGAGCAAAAAAAAAAAAAAAAAACCCTAGTGCCTATGGCTCAGTGAGTAGGGCACCAGCCCCATATACCAAAGGTGGTGGGTTCAAACCCAGCCCTGGCCGAACTACAACCAAAAATAGCCAGACCTTGTGGCAGGCGCCTGTAGTCCCAGCTACTTGGGACACTGAGGCAAGAGAATCGCTTAAGACCAGGAGTTGGAGGTTGCTGGGAGCTGTGTGACGCCACGGCACTCTACCAAGGCCAATAAAGTGAGACTCTGTCTCTACAAAAAAAACCTAAAAAGGTTAGTATAAGAAAACGAAATTTCAGTTCAATATTCCTTATGATCATAAACTCAAAAATCTTCAACAAAATGTTAGCAAGTAAAATTCAGTAGAAAGGCATAGTCTCTGACCAAGTAGGATTTATTCCACAAATAGTAGGTTGTTTTAGTGCAGAAAACTATATAATTTGTGATAATAACAGAATAAGAACAGAAAAGACATAGAAAAAGTATGACATAGAAAAAGCATGACAAAATTCAACACCCATTCAGGATAAAATTTCTCAGCAACTTAGAAATAGAACTTTGTCAATCAGGTAAGTATTCTCCCAGAAACCTTATTGTTAATATCTTAACAGTGATGTATTATGCTCAAATAATTCTCCCTGAGACCGGGAAAAAGGAAAGGATGTTTATTCTCATAATTTCAGTCACTTCTGTACTATAGATCTTAGCTCGCTCAACAGGCAAGAGAAAAAAAGGAAAACGTCCCAAGACTTTGAAAAAAAGTCAAAACCATATCTATTCACAGATGACACGTGTTTGTTTAGAGCAAGGTCAAAGCCTACAAAACTGAGATATGAAAATCTATTGTATTTCTATACACATGGGCAGAGGCAACAAAAATATGGGAAGTTTTTTATAACATGAAATAGTTAGGGATATATTTAACAAAGTTTATACAAGACCTCTATATTAAAAATTATAAGAAACACACTCTGGAAGGCTGAGGGAGGAAGATCACTGGAGCTTGGAGTTCAATACCAGCCTCAGCAAGAGTGAAACCTCATTTCTACTAAAAATAGAAGAATTAGCCAGGTGTTGTGGCAGGTGCTTATAGTCCTAGCTATTCAGGAGGCTGAAGCAGGAGGATCACTTGAACCCATTTGAGGCATCTGAGGTTGCCATGAGCTAGGCTGAGACCATGGGACTGTAGCCTGGGCAACATAGTAGGTGAGACTCTGTCTCAAAAAAAATGAAAAATAAAGAAAAAGAAGACCCACTTAAATGGAGATATAGCATTGGAAAATTTGATATTGTTGACTTGATAATTTTTCTCAAATTAATTTTTAGATTGAAATCCCAAAGGCACCAAGGTTTTCCAGTTTGATTCATTTGGGGGGTGGAAGATAAAGTAGAAATTGGCACAGTTAATTCAAAATTTATATGAAATAGTCAAGGACCTACAAAAGTCAAAACAATTATGAAAAAGAAAAATAAAGTTGGTACACTTAGGACTTAGTTTAAGCTGAGCAATCAAGCCAGGGGTCATAGCAGTATTGGTGTAGGGTAAACCACTGATGGTCAGCATAACGTCCAGACAGTACACAATGGATTTTTCAACTATGGTATCAAAAATAATTCCATAAAGAACAGACCATTTTTTCAAAAACAGTGCTGGAACAAGTGGATATTTGGAGGGGTAGGGGCACAGGACAAAAAGGCCACATCTGCCTCGCGTTCTACACAAGACTGTTCATAGGCAAAAACCTAAAAGCTAAAACCATAAAGCTTCCAGAAGAAAATTTAGGAAACTACCTTCATGACCTTGGGATAGGCAAATATTTTAATGAGAATAAAAGCACTATTGAGGAGGTGGGGGGGATCACGGGGAGTGGTACACCTTTTGGGGGCAGAACCCTATTATGGGAGGGTCTTTACTGACACAAGTAATCAATGTAATCTGGTTCTTTGTACCCTCAATGAATCCCCAACAATTAAAAAATAAAAGCACCATCATAAAAGAAAACATCAGAAACTGGACTTCATCAAAATATTAAAGTTCTGTTTGTCAAAAGGCATAATTAAGGAAATGATAAAAATGATAAAAGCAAGGCACAGACTGAGAAAAATACATATAATAAATATGTCTTGTACCTAAAATACATAAAAAAACAAACTTGTACAAATCAATGACAAAAACATAATTTAAAAATTGGCAAAAAATTTGACTATATTACAAAGGAGTGGCCATAAGCACATGAAAAGATGCCTATCATGAAGCATCAAGAAATATAGTCAGACACCATTTAGCATCCACAGGAATAGTTATAATCAAAAGGAAAAGCTCGGTGCGCTGGCTCACACCTATAATCCTAGCACTTTGGGGAGACTGAGGCGGGAGGAGCTCTTGAGGTCAGGAGTTCAAACCAGTCTAAGCAAAGTAGTAAAACCTCAACTCTACAAAAAAATAGACAAATTAGCCAGGCTGGTAGGATATGCCTATAGTCCCACCTACTCCAGAGGCTGACGCAGGAGGACTGCTTCAGCCCAAGAGTCTGAGGTTGCAGTGAGCTATGATCACCCCGCTGTGCTGTAGGTTCAAGTAACAGAGCAAGATCTTCTCTCAAAAAAAAAAAAAAGTTGAAAAGATAAAACACAAAGTCCTAGCTACTCAGGAGGTCGAGGCACGAGGATCACTCAAATCCAGGAGTTTGATTTTGCAGTGAGCTATGATGATGCCACTGCACTCTAGCTTAGGCAACAGGGCAAGACTTTGTCTCAAAAAAAAAAAAAAAAGGTCAAATTAGTGTTGGCAATAAAGTCTCACATATTACTGATGACAATACGAAATGGAAAACTATGTAGCAGTATCTTACGAAGTGAAACATTTACCTACCCTATGAATCACTAAGTCCATTCCTAGGTATTTCCCCCAAATGAATAAAAACACATAGCTACAAAGATTTAATCTACGAATATTCATGTCAGCTTATTCATTCTAGCAGCCTAAATAAAAATAAACCCAAAGTCTATCAACAAGTACTGAAGAAACAAAGAAACAAAAACTCGTATGGTCATCACGAGTTTTACAGTAGTAAGACAGAATACTACACGGTAACAAAAATGAACAAACTGCTAACATATAGAAAAACAGGGATGAATATCAGCAACATTATTCTTGAGCAAGAGTGTGACACAGAGCACTGTCTGTGTGATTCCAGTCTGGGACAGAAGTGAGGGACTGGTTGCAAAGGAACGCAGAGAATTTTCCGCTGTGATGGAAATATTCTGTATCATAATTAGAGTAGATATGCTTACCAAAACTCACAGAACTATATAAAACCTGGGCATTTCACTGCATGGGGATTTATTTCAATAATGTTGATTTAATAAGCTATAAATCCTTGTCATTTAAAACTAGCATTTTAAAAGTTACACTCTAATAAAAATGAGGTAGCACAAACTACTCATGTGTTTGGTTTCAAGAGAAGATTAAACAGTTGTAGCTTTATTAGCCAAGTTCATCAGCTTACTGCTTACAACAAAAGTCACAAAGTTTTCAGCTAGAGGGGAGGAGGGAAGAGGAAGAGACAACGGGATTGGTGTGCTCTCACCTAGGAGCAACAGTGTAAGGGTATGTGGCACACACCTGGGTGAGGGGCACAACTACAACTTGGACTCTCCCTAAGAAATGCAAACAACGTAAGCTAATCATATGTACCCTCACATTAATCCGAAATTTTAAAAAACATTTTTTTCAGTTATTTTTAAAGCTGGACTATGTGTTAAATGTAAGATTGTTTTAAAAGGCAATTAAATGTACCTATAAGTCTTTTTGGAAAAACAAACAAAAACCCCAACCCTAGTTCAGGATCATCAGCACATGATATCTGCAAAATGAAAGACATGAATTCCTCAGCACCACCTACCACCCTCTCCAGACTCTGCTGTGGTTCATACGTATAACCTCATAGAAGTCCAGTAGTAGAAATCTCAGGTCATCAAGCCAAACTTCTCACTTATACATAGTAAGGCTGAGGTTCAGAAAATTTCTTAACTTGAATAAGTAGAAAGCTGTGAGAACGCTCAAGTGACCTGTTCTTCAGTCCCACAACTAAAATGACTGGTCATTTCTTTAAATTCATTACTTTCTCTTTTACCTTCTATAGGCTTCCTTTTGGGGCAAACCTACTTCATTCAGTTGGAGAAATACCTAATGATAATGAAAGAACTCCAAACTGCACAATGCAATGTTTTCTTCCTGCATGTTCTTCCTTTGTGAACTATCACTTTGAGAAAACTGAAGCAACACTGCAACGTAAGGTCACTTGTCAGACAAATCTGTACAGGCTCTACATTCTCACACTCTCCGTGGGATTCCAGGACAGAAGCCTGGACGCAAAGTCTTTAGAGGTCGCTCTGTGTGTGTGTGTGTGTATACACTATCAATAGTATTTTAAAAAATGGCTTTTTGGTCACAATCCAGGAAAATCTATATTTTTTGAAGTTTAGATTCAAATTCATGCTCCATTCCCTGTGAGGTCAAAGCTAGATTCTAAGTTTTGAGAAGAAATTCTTTGATGATTTTATTCCCTGATCCCTTGCAAATACCTATCACCGCAATCCATATCTCCTCCCACCTCCATTCCCCAGTAGTGGCAGATGGAAATGAACCATGGGGCATCCAGGTGACAGGAAGGCAAGAACAAGCTCTCACTGTTGTCTCACTGACTCTGTTGGACATACCCCCATCTTACACCCCATGCATGCAGCTCAGTTCAGACCTAGATAGACACCTAAGACATCCATAACAGTGATGTACGCTCAGCAGTCACAATCAGACTGACAGGAGCTACCCATTACCCAAGACCACAGTGATCATATTCTTTGACATATGTAGACAATGGCAAAAAATGAACAACTCAGCCTAGCACACATTCACATGTGCTCCCCTACCCCTCCACTCCCTAGATCTAGAGGACATCAATGAAAGAGGCCTCAAAGTAGAGAGGTAGACTTGAAAGTGTGGATTTAGAGTCCTAGGTATAACTCCCACAAAGCCCATCAGATCCTGGGCGAGGTACTCTGCCTCAGTGTCCCTCAGTGAAGGGGGAGGGGGAGGTTCTACCCGTACAATGGTAACCGAACACCAGAATGTATGTTACTGATCCAGGACTGGAGCCTAGGAGGAGGGAACAGGATGCAGCTAAGCGGAGAAGAGACCAAAGTACAAGTCATATTCTTGCTACCTGACACGCTGAACATCTTAAATAATACAAAGTGCGTGTATATGGGGCAATATAAAATTTTACTCTCAAATACACTAGTTTGGAAGTACTCAGTAGTAACTTTCCTGTCTACATAGACTTCATATGTTGCTTTTACGTAGGTGAAAAATAATTAGAAATACAATTTGTATCTCTATTTTTAATAAATGTAATCTGATGATAGTGAAACAAAAAAAAGAGTGAAATTACCTCCTCTTACAAATCCATTCGTAGCTATTGCTGAAGTGGACAATCCTGTGATAGTCGTCACAACGGTGGCCATCATTATTACAACAACTGACAGACCTTTAGGGAAAAAAAAAAAGAAACTGAGAATACTTACACTCTCACTTCAACCTGCCCTTATCTACAATTCATTATCTGAGCAGAATGCATCGACACTATAAGCCATGCATTACCTAATTCTGATCCCATTTTATAAAAATCCAATCAGAATTATGAACAGAGTAACACTAAGACAACAATTAGAGGAAAATACAGATCACAACAACCCCAACTGCCTGAGTTTTATGGGGTGGAGAGCTCAGACTCAGCTATTTTGCTCATGTGTTCTCAAATCAAGCAGAACAGAGCTTCACTTACCTATTCCAGCTTGACCCACAATCCACGATAATCTAATGAAAAGCATCACACCCCAAATGTTTAACATACAACGTACCTAGAAGGGAGAAAGAGGGGAAGATACAGATAAAGCAGGGTCACCAAACAGCACGGCAGTAAACACTACACCAGCCAGAAGCAGGATAATACCTGTGTGACTACAGAAGATAATCTTTAAATATATTTCCTACCCCACTCTTTTAAGTCTTTTTTAAGAACCTTACGACAGCACACGTTTGAGCTAACATAAATGCACTGACAGTAATGTGAGAGTGTATGTAAACACATACGCTTCACAGTTATTTAAAGCAGGAGAAGCAAAATAGAAAACGTATTTTAATAATCACTTGTAAAATAATCATCATTTTTGCTCAGTCTTTTAATGAGAACATTTTTCATTCTTTTCATATGATTTCTTCCACAGATTTAAGTATTTGTCAATACAAAATGCCAACTGTTCAAACTTTTCTAAAAACTTCAATTTGTGCAAGTTTCTCAAATTCACTTTTACTTTTATTTATTATGCTCACACATCCAACAGTCTCCTAAAATACTAAAATCTAACAACAGGCAAACAATAATACCTAGAGCTTCACATTCATCCTACTGATGAGACAAGAAAATTACTAAAAGAACTGCAATTTTTCTTCTACTTCTCCCTTGAATTCCAATACAAGCCCTATTAAGGGCTTCCCAAGTCTCAATAAGAAGGCAATCTAGGGCGGCGCCTGTGGCTCAAAGGAGTAGGGCGCCGGCCCCATATGCCTGAGGTGGCGGGTTCAAACCCAGCCCCAGCCAAAAAAAAAAGAAGGCGGCAATCTAATTCCAATCTGGGGCATTAAAGAAACTCGTGCCTTAGTGGTCCTTACGTGTGTTTTGAACTGAACCCAAATTTCCTAACAAATCTTTTCATTAGCAGGGGTGAGGGACAGCAAGCAGCAGCTTTTCTTGCTTCCTTTGGTGCTTGAAATCAGAAGGCAGCAGGTTCCCCACCCAGGCCAGAAAATCAGAAGTAAATGCAAACCATCATCACCCAGACCTGCGCATGGAAATTAATTTAAGAAAAGGAGACCTTTACTCTGTTACTTGTTACCTTCCATAAGCTTCTCTTCAAAAGATCAGAGAGTTAGCTTGAAAGGAAGCTGTGTATTTAAGCTCTGCTCCCTGCTTGGCTTTCATTGATAACTTTATAGCTAATCTCCAAAATGTGACAATATGTGAGGTTCACAAGTGGCAATGAAATATAATGTACAGGAAGTCAGGGATAATTTGGTTAAATTAAAACATACATCTTCTTTACTGAATTTAAGGTCCAAAAGGAAAAGAGATACAAGTTATTAATGTGGCCTTCCCGGGTACTTGGATAAGTTATAACAGGGAAAAATAAAAATTTTCTTGAGAACTAATAACGATATTGAGAAGGCTGTATAATCAACAGAAATGCTGTAATTCTAAAATGCAAGCCCACATGTACATACTAAGACACCCTTGATCCAGCCGAACTTCACGACCCCTTTACTCTCTGCCGCGTATGTAACCACCGCGTCTCTGGTTGGAGTACTTTCTTCTCCATTGGCAAAGCCATCCTCAAAAGGTTCCTGGTTATAAAAAGAAATGAAAATTATGTGTAAGAGTTATTTAAAATTTAAAATAACTTGATAAATAAAAAAAAAACTAAATTCACTTAACTGTAGTTAGAAAGATACAGTATAGATTTCCAAGCATCAAGGGTTTTTTAATATTTTACCTAAGGAAAATGTAAAGGAACTCTCAATTACTGAGAGTCCTTAAAATTTAACTCTCCCCATGACAGTAAACCCATTTTAATACGCATTTTAATTACACTTTGGTGAAGTCTGCAGAGCACTAACAATACCGACTGCTGGGCACAGACTAGCTGTCAATCAATTCGGACCACATCTCCCCAGCCACAAACCCACTTCACACAGTCCCCTCCTTTCCAACATCTGAAATGTCAACAATAACAATTTAAAGCTTCTCTTCATGACCAGTGAATACGGTTTTCCCTTTACACACCAAGATGGCAGGAGTCCCTGGAGCCCAAGATTCGTTCTTATCTCCTCCCTTTCCTCACTCCTAATCTGCATTCAGTCACTCAAGCATTCTTCAAACTTTCTTTTGCAATTTTTCTCAGATTTAGACATAAACTGATGTTTCCTTCTTAGGTTTTTATGTTCCATGTCTGATTCTATAATTCTTAGCTCTTTGTTCTCAACTTACTGCCTCTCTCAGTGTTGTTGTGTCCCCATACATCCAAGGCGTACAACACACTTCAAATTAGTAACAGGGTCTTTAAAAGGTCATAAAGGGAGAAGGGAGATGACTTGGGAAATGAAAGACATTCTGGATCTAAACTATTGTCCCAGACAGCCCACAGTTGTTCCTGTACCTGTATCTTCACAGCAGAAAATAAAATACAGCTGTATTCCAGACATTTTTTCCTTACATGCAGAAGAGACTAATTAATAATATTATTATTTTTTTGTGTGAGACATAGTCTTACTATGTCACCCTCAGTAGAGTGCCGTGGCATCACAGCTCTCAGCAACCTCAAACTATTGGGCTCAAGTGATTCTCTTACCTCAGCCTCCCAAATAGCTGGAACTACAAGCGCCTGCCACAATGCCCAGCTATTGGTTTGCTGCAGTTGTCATTATTGTTTAGCAGGCCCAGGCCAGGCTCAAGCCCACCACCTTCAGTGTATGTGCCCGGTGCCCTACTCACTGAGCTATGGGCACCAAGCCAAGACTGATTAAATTTTTAAAACCATTCTCAGTGCTTCAGAGACGTCAGTGAAATTCTGAATATAATTTCTAATTACAGAAATGAGATGCAGCACATTTTGTGCTATGACAGTGCAAAATTTACATAATGCACACTTCCCTTTTCCCTTGACCAACATCTGCCATTCAATTCCATTTAATGCAATATTTCTATATGTTTTATTTATTCACTTATTTAATTAACTTATTTTTTTCAGACAGAATCTCACTCTATTGCCCCAGGCTAGAGTGCCATGGTATCAGCCTAACTCATAGCAACCTCAAAGTCCTTGGCTCAAGCGATTCCTCCTGAAGCTGGCGCTACAGGCACCTGCCACAACACCCAGCTATTTTTTTCTATTTTTGCTCAGGTTGGTCTTGAACTGAAGCTCAAGTGATCCTCCTACCTCAGCCTCCCACAGTGCTAGGATTACAGACTGGAGCAACTGGGCCCAGCTGCTTTTAAAAGTGCTAATCAATCCAGATCAGCTCTTAGATTCTGTATTTATTTAGCTTAAACACTGATAATTCTTTGATCATGAAGAGAAGAAACATTAAAATAAACCAGAAGCAATACTTTGGGTATTTTTTAAAAAATAGTTTAGCTTTTTGATAAGAGACAAATCCTCACAGACTTAGTTATAACCTCAGCTACATGAAATACGTGGAAAATGACTAATTTAAAGACTATTAAGAACTGAAATATGAATCTAACGTAAAACACTTCTGATAGTAGCTCACAACTAAGAATAATTATAATTTTTCTTATAACATGGTTTTATAACTATTATCTAAAAATGATTACTGTACTGTAAGAGGAATGTCCGTAAGTATGGTACTTTACTCCCAGAAAAAATTTAAAAGCATCCCAAGTCTACTATACTTTTTAAACAGCACTGAGACATAATTCACATGCCACACAATTCACCCATTGAATACAATGACTTTTAGTGTATCTACAAAGCTGTATGACTATCACCACAATCAGTTTTACAATATATTTATCACCCTAAAAAGAAACTCAGTGCCCATTAGTCACTCCCCATTCCTCCTTCCTCTAGCCCCTGGTAACCACCAACCAGCTTTCTGTCTCCAAAATTTGTCTACTCCAACACTGCATGTAAATGCAATCATGTGATATGTGTACAGACTCTGAGTGTAGCTTCTTTCAGTTAGCAAAACATTTTCAAGGTTGATAGTGTCTATTAGTACTTCACTTCTTTTCACTGCCAAGTAATATTCCATTGCATGGATATACATTTTCTTTATTCATGAGTTAGACATTTAGGCTATCAAAATACACACACGTACACACACACCCCAAACCCACTGTGCCCAGGGGCCTGCATAGCTCAGTTACAAGAACAACCTGCTTTGGCTGTACTTGCATTATTGAGTGTATTCCAGGAGAGAGTCAGTGAAAATACCAAATTTTAAAAACTGACTCTAAGTAGGGATTGGTGGCTCAACCATACAATTATTCAAATAAAGCCAAAACAAAAAAGTTTGTCTGTTAACTTCTAGTAACTTTAGATAAAAGTTCCTTAGTTTTCATGCTAAGATACATAAGTACTCTTAAATTATTTTATGAATGAATTCTGTATTATAAGAAAATACAATGTCTAATATACACTCAAAAGACATCTCTCTTCCCATCTCTATTAAAAGAAAAGTAAACACGTGTATACTTAATAAGCCACATTTTCCAAGGCTACGTATTGATGAGGGCATTTTTAAAAGCAATTTGTTATGGAGAATTAATCAGAATCCCACCTCAAAAAAAGTTGAAAATCCAGCAATAATGTTGCTATACTGTACACAACAATGTTCAAGAAACAAAGTACAATTTTCCATTGCAATACTGCATGTATCAAGCAGTAATTTTTTTAAATTTTATTTATTTTGGATTAATACAAGGGTACATATAATTAGGCTACCCTGTCTGTGTATGTAATGTATATTAAGTTAAAATCAAGTAAGGTGTTTATTATTATCTACACCTTAATTAACAGACTTAAATATAAGTTGGCTTCATAACTGTATTAACTTCCTGAAATACCAAGTGGATATATACCTTTTGTTTCTTTGGATACATTTCAGAGAATTAAGGAAATCATCAGGTATGACATTTTGTCTACACACACACACACAAAAAAAAATTGTATAAAAACTTTATAATCTTGGGTATGAAAACCCCACACTGTACCCCAGAAGTGCATTAATGTACATAGTTACCATTCAATTTAAAAAAAACAACTTTATAATTGTAGGAAATCCCAAATACGCAATTATGAACCATAGACTATCCTGATACAAAGGTACATAAATAAAAATCTCCAATCTACCTGCCATTTTCACAGAAATGATGGGTTTATGTTCTTTACTGTGTTTGTTTTCCAATGGATAAAAAGTAAAAAATAACATAAATGACTTTATGTATGATTCCTAAAAATAAAAAAAAGAGAGAAAAAAAGGCTTGGATGTGAGTGTTTTATTTTTTCAATAAGACAAAGTTATACTTACTTTAAAAAGCATCCTGCTGTTTTCCCACTGTCACAAGAAATGTGTCAAACATTCACTTAACCCTAAATCAGATGAATACTAAGGAACTATACTGACAGCTTTCTAGTATTTTCATCTACGAAATAAAATTTCAGTCTCAATCACCTTAACACACCTTTATACAGGCAAATCAAACTTTATCAAATAATCTAAAGTGACAGAAAAAAACTACATGCACAAGGAAAAACTGGAGGGAGGAGTATACATAGGGGAGATGCATAGTATAAAGTTTTCAATTAACAACTGCTTGTTTAGGCTCTGTGCCCATAGCACAGAGGTTGTGGTGCCAACCACACACACTGAAGTTGGCGGGTTCGAACTGGGTCCACGCCAGCTAACTGACAAGGACAACTGCAACAAAAAATAGCTGGGCATTGTGGCAGGCCCTGTAGGCCCAGCTACTTGCGAGGCTGAGGCAAGAGAATTGCTTGAGGCCAAGAGTTTGAGGTTGCTGTGAGCTGTGACACCATAGCACTCTACTGAGGATGACATAGTGAGACTATGTCTCAAAGAAAAAAAAATTGCCTGTTCAGATTTTGTGCTTGTACTGGGTAGTAGCTATGGTAGAGAATACAGAAATTTTAAAAGAAATAAAGCTGTGTATCCTTATTCAAGTTATGCAGCTTCAAATTATTCTAGCAAACCACATCATGTAAACGCTAAAAAAAATTCAGATAAGCATAGCCTTCAAAAAGTCACAAGTCAAGGACAGGCACAGTGGTTCATTCTTGTAATTTTATTAGCTCTTTAGGAGGCTGAGATAGGAGGACTGCTTGAGGCCAGGAGTTCAAGACCAGCTTGGTTAACACAGTGAAATCCTGTCTCTAAGAAAAAATAAGAAAAATTAGCCAGGCATGGTGACATAAGCCTGTAGTCTCAGCTACTTGAGATGCTGAGGTGAAAGATCACTTGAGCCCAGGAGTTTGAGACTGCAGTGAGCTATAATCAGCCTGGGTAACAGAGCAAGACCCTGTTCTCAAGTGGGGGAAAAAGAGTTACAAGTCCAGCATTAAGGGAAATCATAATTATATAATACACACATAAATAAAATTTTAAAAATCCCTCTAGGAAGTTTTAAATTCTTTCCCAATTAACATCTATGCTAAATGAAAAACAAGATGGAAAAGCCTATTTAGTAGTGTAACAAGCTGCCTTTCTACTTACATACACCTTATCTTCATCTGTTTCTGAGATATTTTTACTATTTCCTGTAACTATACCAAGTGTTCCTATACAAACACTTAGAAAAGATA